ATATTTATTGTAGTCGTGGATGAGTGCTGGTTTTTGAACTTCCCTTTCCTGATTCCGTCTTCGAATTACAGTCGTTTTATTTGCGGCTGTTCCATGCGTTGATAACAGTAGTACATTTTTTTTCTGTGACTTCTTTTCTCTGTACGCTAATAGAAGTATTTCCCGATTTCTTTGGTACTTATATTCGCCCACTTCCAATTTTGATTTGAGCTGCGATGGAATATGTTTTCTATTACTGCGTATTGTTCCGGATAAAAATGTATTTTTCTCAAACAGAGATCTTGCTAAGGCAATGCTGGTAAAAAAATTGTCGACAGTTATGTGGTATCCTTTCATAAAGTAGTTACTCATACCGAGTAATTTATCTATTACTACTTGAGCGAGGCCTTTTTCTTTTATTTCTCTCTTGTCCCGTTGGTCCTTGGCTCCCCGATAGCAAAAGAATGACAGACAATAATGGGAGATCCCATCGGCTAGCATCCAAAATTTTATGCCCCATTTGTGGTGCTTCTTATTTGGCAAATACTGGGTGAGTGCTGATCTGCTTTTTGTTCCTACTAATGATTCGTCCACGCTCAAGTGCTGGTGTGGTGAATAATGAAATTTGAATTTTCTATTTGCATGAGCAACGACAGGTTCAAACTTTGCTGTTGGGTCGTATTCACTGTTATCTCGTGCTGGTAATGTGCTATTGTCCACGGTATGAAAAAATTTACAAAGCAACTGGAATCTATTCCGGCTAAACATTTGGCCAAACCATGGGATGTGTCGATGATTTTGTGACCAGTAACTAAAAATTGTTGGCCTACGGGTTATTCCCATTTCGAGTAAAACGGCTATAAATGCTCTCAACTCTTTGATTGTTGTTTTCTTCCAGGTCAGTGTTGTGGATGTATTTGCTGCTCCAGCATTCTCGAAAAACTGTTGTGCATACCGATTTGTTTCAATTCTCAACATGTCCAGAAATTCTAGTGTAAAAAATAAATTGAAATACTCTATTGGTTTCGATATGTTCGGTGGCATATGTTTAGGGCCAGTCATTTCCAAAAATAGTGGGCGCGGGTTATATTGGATATCGTTTTCCACATTTACTTCCCTGAAATTCGTCAGAGATTCGTCACTATCACTCTCGTTATCTTCATCTTGCGATTCTTCTTCGCCAGACTCACTGTCGCTATATATTCTGCGATCACACCGACGGCTTGGCGCAAATAATTGCTCATCCTCGTCACTGT